CTCTGCCGACCTTCCCACATACCCCACTTTCACAACAAAGGAACACGGGTGGTTTGAGCAGAGTCCAGGAAACAGGATTGGGGAATAGAGAGACGTAAGAACAAGTCTCTGAATTATTCCTAATTGGGATTAAAAAGTCCAGGAAAACCACCTCATAGATTTAAGATGTGCCCCTCGATATGTCGCCTGAGCAGCACATCCTTAGGAAGGGCTCTGGTCAGCAGAAGTTGCTCTTTGGAAAGGCATCCCCTTCCCTTCGTAACTGAAGGGTTATTTTACTCTGAACTTAATCCTGGTGAAATGAATCCAGCAGCCGGAATATCATGTGCACTTCTAGGACAAAGGGGAACACAAATAAAGCCTCCACCTGGCTAAAATTTAAAGTGCTAAGATTTCAGTGTCTTTAGTTCGCTTCAGTTGCAGAAATATGACTTAAAAATTTGACTTGCTATTTGGAGAATATGAAGGCTGTGTTGAAACTGCCTTCGTGCACAGATAAGGAAAAGTTGTTCGGACTCTTAAATTCCTGTGGTCAAAGACTTACTAAGAACCAAGAGAGATTTTGGAGACTAGCCAGGTGGGACAAAGGTCTTTAAAATTAAAACATGCCTGTGCTTATCCTCGTTACTGCAGTTAAAAATTTAATGGACTTTTGTCATTTTGTTGGCTGCCCAGTATCTGAACCTTTTCCTGTGTTTGGGGAATTTGTGACCTTCTGAGTCTTGGAAAGATGCAGGAAGCGTATCCCAGGATATTCTCTGGAGAGTTCCAGAGAATCTCTTTTCTAGCTTTCTCTGTACTGAAGAATGAGCACATGACCAAGCAAAACCCAGTCAGAAGCGCCCTTCTGAGGCTCGGTGCCTGGAAGTGGGAACTGCAGAGATGGGAGGAGGTGGGTGAAGTGTGGGCACCTATACACTGGCATGGGATTGATTTATCATGAAATGACACATCTAGAGACTAGTAACAGCCTAGACAAGTCCTTACTTGGTCATTTATCTTTGATGTGATTTGGGCCTTTATATCTTATTTCTTCCATCCTCTCAGAAATTAACCTTAGGTAGGATCAGAGAGATAGTAGAGCAGGTCAGGGGCTTGCCTTGCACATGGCTGACCCCAGTTCAATCTGGGCACCACATATATACCCCCACCCAAAGTGGTCCTTGAGCATAGAGTCAAGAGGAAATCCTGAGCATTACCAAGTGTGGCCAAGCCCCCTGCCCCCCTCCCGAAGTCCTATCAAAAGTGAAAAAGAAACTCTGTAAAGAACCTAGAATTTTTTTTTTCCTTTTTGGGTCACACCCAGCAATGCTCAGGGATTACTCCTGGTTTTGCACTCAGGAATTACTCCTGGCAGTGCTCAGGGGGCCATATGGGATGCTGGGGATCAAACTCGGGTTGGCCGCGTGCAAGGCAAATGCCCTACCCGCTGTGCTATCGCTCCAGTTCCACGAAATCTATTATTTTTTAGTGAGTTCATCAGTGACTTCATTTAATTGCAACCAAAATTTGCTGCATCAAAACACACTGCCAGGCAGCTGGGACTTCAGTCTTCGGAACTCAGAGTAGAATAGATCAGTGTGCTGCTTAGTACTAAGGAAAGACATCTACTGACAGAGAAAAGTAAACAGAAAGCTTATTCCTCAGGAGGCAACCATAGCTCAAGATGAAATAAAAACAGAAGAATTAAAAATGCACGGGTCATAATTAAAAACACTTTATTGATAAAATATACCTGTCTTAGCTATGTTAAAAACGGTGAGCAACAGACTTATGCCACAGACTTTTGGTTCGTAAAATTGCAGTATTTGCCAAATACATCAAGCATTTCACTTTGTTGCCTTTTGCACAGGCTGTATGTACTTCCACAGATACTTGTGCTGTAAAATGAGTGCCTCTTGAAGAACACGTTTTTCAGTTTTGGATGCTGAAAAGTTCAAGGTGTCCAAAGAATCTGGCTCATGGATGGTCTCATCCTCACATGGTGGAAAGGATCTTTCAGGGATTGTGGGAGTGATTCTCCTCAAGACCCGCACAGGTCCCAATCAACTCCAAATACCATCACTCTGGGAATCAGGTTTCAACATACAAACTTACAAGGATACACTCAGTCTCTACTTTGAGATCATCTTCATTCCATCATTGTGGGTATGCCAAATTTTAAAAATTCTCTCTCTTAACTGACTTAAGATAAAGGAGGGTCCATTATGACAACATTAGTTGGAAACGATCACTCTGCATAAGAACTGAGTGTTGAAAGTAGGTAAAGGGATATACATGATAATCTTTCAGCATCAGTATTGCAAACTATAACGCCTAAAATGAGAGAGAGAAAGAGAGAAAAGAGAGGTACTTACCAGAGGTAAGCTGGGGTGAGGGGTAGTTTGGTAGGGTGGAAGGAAAACTGGGGACATTGGTACAGAAAAATTACACTGGTAGAGGGGTGTGTGTTGGATCATTATATGATGGACTGCAACCCAATCATGAACAGCTTTATAATGTTCTTTTTCTTGATGATTCAATAAAATAAAAAATTAAATTAAAAAAAAATTCTCTGGAGAGGGGTCAGAGAGATTGTACTATGTTTAAGGATGCTCCGCCTTGCATCCAGCAGAATCAGATTCGAATCCCCAGTAGCACATATGATCCCCAACCACCAATTAAATGTCGCTCTTTAGCACGAAGACAGGAATAGGCCCTGAGCACCTCCAGGGTGATCTCTCCTTTGGGTAATCTCTGTGGTAGGAGACTCAGCGGCACACGATGGTAGATGGTCACCGTGATGACTCTGAGCAGGCAGGTCTCAAGGTGCCCCTGCCTGCTGACCAAGGGCATGTCACCTTACCTGAAAATAGCCCATCGTCAAGTAAGTCTAGGTGACAATTGCATGGGACTATCTATCAGGAAGAAACAAAGGGATGCTCCCAGGATTTCCTATGGAATGTGGAGAATAAGCTGCAACTTCAAGCCAGATTGCTTGTATAAGAATTCTCTCTGGGTTTATAATTTGTTTATACCATCGCCTTTGTCAGTTTCTTTTTGCCCCTCGAACTATGCTGACCTGACTAGAGCAGGGGAAGATGGAGGAGATCGGGTTCCAAAGTTGGGACAGAGCAACAGAGACAATAAAGCACTTCCTTGAGGATAAGTTGCAGGATAGTAGGATGTGTTCAGTTGAACCAACCCCAAGAAAGAAACTCAAGTAAATGATTATGGAGGGCAGAGAATATTTCACTACACAATCATTGATTTTTTTTAGTCCAAAAGTTTCTCTATAGCCTTCAAGAAAGCATCATATAATGGTCACATTTCACTATTTTTGCAAAACAAAAACAAAAAAAAATGGAATAGAAACAACCAAAAATGGAATAAAATAAGTCATGCATATGCAGAGGTAAGACCTGGGGTTTTTTCCCCCTTAAATCAGAGGTACTAAAATGCATTTGATTAATAAATTTATATATTCTTTTTGTTTCCTGGGCCACACTCTGCTGTGCTCAGTGCTCAGGATTTACTTCTGGCTTTGCACATGATGGGGCTGAGGGACCATGTGGGGTGCTGGGGATCAAATCCTGGTCAGCTGCATGCAAGGCAAGTGCTCTCTCTAAACACTGTACTATCTCTCCTGCCCCCTAACTAGCCCTTTTTAAAAACAAATGATTCTGTGCCCTTTGGAAATCTATTTCTGGCAGGAGTGGCAGTGCTTAGGAGACAATGGGTGCTAGGAATCACACCAGGCCTCCTGCCTAGAAAGCATGTGGTTCAATTGGTCACATCTTCTTTCCAGCTAGAAATTCACTGTCCTTAAGAGAACAAACATAAAGTGTATCCCAAGCACCTGAGGCTACCACAGTCCCCCTGGATGGTTCCAGTGCTCCCCGCCTCACCTGGCGTGGTATACCCACTCTGGCAAACACTGCCTCAGACCTCTGGTTTGCCTGTGCTAGGGATTCCAGACCATTTGATCCATAGCTACAGGATTGATGGAAGACAGTCACTGAAGTTCTGGGAGAGGATTTCTACATAAAAGCTATTGCAAATCATGGTTTTTGTCACTAAAGTTAATATGCACATGCTAGAGAGGAATTTTCTTATCAACATGACAAGGAACAAATATTGAAATCAATATATAAAATGATCTCTACTGGGGAGAGTTGCCTATGCCCTTCTCTAGGGCACAAATTTTCTTCACTATCTGACCTTCTCTCTCTCTCAAGTTCACATTCTCCTTAGAATTTAGCATGCTCTCACCATGGTGAGTCATATCAGCCAGAGCCAGGCACACACTCAGAATGAGTTCTCTCATACATGGGATACAAAGAAAGGTTGTAGGAGGCTATCAAATGCCCAAACACAGTAGAAACGAAGAACAGGAGAACTAAGTGGTCTTCAGTAGGGAGCTTGGCACTGGGGCAGGGGTTAGGGGATAAGTTAGGAAAACTAGGACAATGAGGGAGGGAGAAAGTGCCTCCCACAGAGGCAGTCTGGGGTTGCAGGGGCGGTTAAAGGGAAACTCAGGACATTGGTAGAGGGTAGTGGACACTGGTGAAGGAATAGTATTGAAACAATGTACCCCTGAAACTCAATCATAAGTACCTTTCTAACTTGGTAATCATGGTGATTCAATAAAAGAAAAAATTAGCACCTTCTGTTAATTTTTCATTTCATTTCATCATCCTGTTATTCGTTGATTGCCTCGAGCAGGCCCCAGTAACGTCTCTTTCATCCTAAAAAAATTATTTTTTACTTCACTTAAAAACACTTTCTTTTTAAAAAAATAAAAGCATCTCTACTTAGCATTGTTAGTCTAGAAGCAAGCAGCACATCGGCAATAGGGCAGGCAAGGACATTCGTCCTTTCCAATGGATTGGGTCATTTTAAAGTTTATCCCTGGCAGGATTTGTCTTCAACATAGAGGTTATGTGCCATTCACAAGATAGCAAGAATGCAGTTAGTTGATTACTTTTTCCTCCTCGATATTTGCTTTAAAGAGAAAACTCTTAAAATGTGTCAGCATCTCTGATCCCAGGAAATGAGGTCATATAAGGGTACACGGGGCAATTGGAATGATTTAGCTCGTGGTGACTGGCAGATGCATAATTATAATTTATGTTCCAGGGGTGGAAAGAGACATATTCCTGGTCAGGTTGGACATACTGTGAGTAGAGGAACTCCTTCTCCAGGATGTAAGACGGCGAGAGTCTGTGGAGAATAGTCTCGCTGAACTGGTAAGTCAGCTTTCTCCGGATTTTGGTGATTTCTCCCGTTCTCCCGTAATTCCTTAGGGCTCTGGCCATTTTCTGGTAAGTCATGGTTTTCCGGTTGCCTTTTCTTTTTCCCCACAGCTGGGCCAGTTTCTCTTTGTTTTTGGAGATAAACTGAAAGATGCCTTTGGTCTTATCTACCCACTGAATGCAAGACGCCATCTCGGGGTTACTCAGGGACTCGTGCAGATATTCAAACAGTCGGAGCTTCTTCCGGCCTGCAGGAGACAAACACAAGGTCATACTCCCCCCACTGCGGCTGGTCTAGGGGTGATGCCACATGGGGGCTGCCCTCTTCCCAGTCCCTCCCTCTCTGGAATGCAGGTCTGGCATCGTTTCCTGGGACAGTCACAGGCCTTTGGCCTTGAAGGCTTCAGCTGGAACCTTTCTCTGGGGAAGAAGCTATCAAGGAGATTCTGCCCTTCACATAGAAGGACTGAACTCATTTGTGGAACATAAAGTAACAGAATGGAGACTGACGCCTGAGGATAGTAGAGATAAGGACGAGGAGGATTCCTTCATGGCTTGGAAGCCATTGTCACATGCAGGGGGGGAAAGGTAGTTGAGATAGAAAAGGGACCACCAAGTAAAGGATGCTTGGACGGCTCGCTCAGGATGGGAGATGCATGCTGAAAGTATACAATGAACTGAACATGATGGCCACTTAGTACCTGTACTGAAAACCTTTATACCCAAAAGGAGAGAGAGACTAAAATGGAATGTGCCTGCCACAGAGGCCGGGGGGGGGGGGGGGTAAGAGAGGGAGGGGGGCTGGGGATACAGGGGGGATCGCAGGAGGGATACTGGGAACATTGGTGGTGGAGTGGTGGAGAATAGGCACTGGTGGAAGAATAAGTATTTGATCATTGTATGACTGAAATGTAATCACGAAAGTTTGTAAATCTGTAACTGTATTTCAGAGTGATACAAAAAAAGAAAAAGAAATAAAAAAAACAGATTCTGTCCTTTGTGGGAAGAAGAAAGGATGAAGACTCTTGATTTTTGTTGTTTATGGTTCGGGGGACATAGCCGGCAGTGCTCAGGGATTACTCCTGGCAGGTCTCAGGGAACCATATGGGTGCTGGAGACGGAACCGGGGTCAGCTGCATGTAACAGTCACCTTCCCCTCTGTATTCTCTCTCTCACTCCGGCTGTGAAGACTCTCTCTCCCTCCAGCCATGAACCTCCTATATACCATGTGATCTGCTTAACTTTTGTTTTAGTTTGGATTCACACCTGGCAGTGCTCAGAGGCAACTCCCAGCTCTGTGCTCTGGGGCTCACTTCTGGCTGTGCTCGAGTACCATACAGTGCCAGGCACCAAGTCCCAAGTCCTGCACGCAAAGCCAGCTTTAGTTATCACTCTAGCCTTTATCCTGCAGGAAGGAAGGAAGGAAGGAAGGAAGGAAATGGAAGGAAGAAACTCTGTGTCATTTTGACTGCTGCTGAACCATGCCAAAGGGCTCAGTGACCTTGCTGTAAAATAAATTGGTACTGTCCAAGAGTGTGCATCTTTCGCATATTGCCCTAATGTTAGAATAACTCGCAGACTAGTATGGAGGTTGTGTCTGTGATTTTATCTTTTCAGGTGTGACTAAATTTTGTCTTTGCCTAACAAAGAAATTGCGCTGGACCGATAGTACAGGGAGGAGACGTTTGCCTTGCACGCAGCTGACCCGGGTTCAATTCCTAGCATCCCATATGGTTCCCCGATCACTGTCAGGAGTGATTCCTGAGTGCATGAGCCAGTAGTAACCCCTGTGCATCACCGGGTGTGACCCAAAAAGAAAAAAAAAAAAAGAAACAAGGTGACAGCAGTCTTGTGATTTCTGAAGGGACCTGTACAGGCCCTGTCCTCACAGATCTGCCAGTCACTGCATTCTACTCCTGCCTTGAGGATTCTGGGTCCCACAGCACTTTGAATACTCTGAGGAATCATATCTTGCCTCAGTTATCATCCTTCCCAAAACCTCAAAGGTTTTCACAAGGATGATCTCTTATGCTATGTTATCTGAAAATTATAAATAAAGAAAGGGACTTACCAAAAGTCAAGGATTTAAATCACATATTTAAACAGCTCTCTGCCTCTTACCACTCCTTGATGTGACTATTCACATAAACTACAATGAATTCTCAGCTTTTTGAAATTGCCTTCCATTTTGAAATCTGTTTACATTTTTATTTTTAAGAAATGAAAGTATGGGGCTGGTGAGATATGGGTAGACACTTGCCTTGTATGTGGTTGACCTGGGTTTTGTCCCCAGCATCCCATAAGTTCCCCTTAGCAACCCCAGGAGTCATCCCTGAGCACTGCCAGATGTGACTCAAAAACAATACAAAACAAAACCAACAAACCAAGAAGAAAAATTAAAGAAAAAAAATGAAGAAATAAGGGTTATGTGCTAGTAGTGAAAGATTTAAATAGAAGCATAAAATGAAAGTTAAAGGTCCACCCTAGGGCAGGAAGGGAAGGAAGAAAGGGAGGGAGAGAGAGGGGAGGGAGGGAGGGAAGGAGGAAGGGAGGGAGGAAGGCAGGAGGGAAGCAGGAGGGAAGGAAGGAAGGAAGGAAGGAAGGAAGGAAGGAAGGAAGGAAGGAAGGAAGGAAGGGAGGGAGGAAGGAAGGAAGGGAGGAAGGAAGGAAGAGAAGGAGGGAGGGAGGGAGGAGGGAGAGAGAGGAAGGAGGGAGGGAAGGAGTGAGGGGGGGAGGGGAAGGAGGGGAGGGAGGGGGAGGGAGGGAGGGACAGAGGGAGGGAAGGAAGGAGCATTGTGTGGAAAAAAGAGAGGGAAGAAGGGGAGGGGAGGGGGGAGAATGAGGCGCCAACATACCTTTCCCTCCCTTTTGCTGGAAAACGGCAGGTTGTGCCAACTGGTGCTCAGGGCTGTCAGGCAGAGACTGGGGAATACTTCCGTCAAGGTAGAGGTCTGCAGTGCTGTTCTGTAGAAACAATGAAGCAAGACTTCAGGTGGGAATTTTTGCGTGAACGCTCAGTCGATGGATAACTCTGCCGGCTGCGTATCCCCCTAAGGCCGCTGGCTGCAGTCTATGCCATCTCCCGAGCAGAAGCAGCGTCACCCCATGGGGAGAGAGCACCAAGGGACGAGCACCAAGGACAGGGCTTAGAGAGTGTCCATAGCCTCCGTTCCCCTGAGAAAGAAGAAGGGGGTCCTTCTTCCCCCTAACAATGCCCAATGAGAAAGATCTGAAAGAATCATTTAAGGATACACTCGGGGCTGCAGAGAGGGCAGTGGGCAGCGTGCCTGCCTCCACGCAGCCAGCTCGGGTTTGATCCCTGGAACCCCAGAGGGCCCTCTGAGCGCTGCCAGGTGGAAGCCCTGAGCACATCCAGGTGCAACAAACTAAAAAGAAATATTTAATGATTTAGTCAGCAACCCCACTAAGAAATCTTAAGCTATCGTTTCATACATTCCTTCTTTCCTCCTCCTTCCCTTCCCTCTCCTCCCTCCTTACCCTCTCCTCCCCCTTTCCCTTTCCTCTCACCTCCCCTCCCCTTTCCCCTCCCCTCCCCTCCCCTCCCCTCCCCTTTTCTTTCCTTTCTTTTTTCTTTTTTTTTCTTGCTTTTTGAGTCACACCCAGCGATGCACAGGGGTCAGTCCTGGCTCTGCACTTAGGAATCACTCCTGGTGGTGCTCAGGGGACCACATGGGATGCTGAGAATTGAACCCGGGTCAGCCTCATGCAAGGCAAACACCCTACCCGCTGTGCTATTACTCTTGTCTATCCCCAGAACCTTCCAGTGGCTGCCCAGCAGGCAAGAAATCCCCCACCATGAGAATCATGTGAGAGGGGGTATGGTGCCACCAGCAGCTTAACCTGTACCAGTGAGGCGAGTGCATCAGCAGCCTGATGGCGCCTTCAGACTTCCAGATACCCCAAAATTGCTGCTGTGCCTTTGGCCAGACCCCAAAAACTTGGGGCAAAATTTACCAAGAAACAAAGTTTACCAAGAAAGTAAACAGCCAAAAGTTAAGTATGTGGGAAACACCCACAAACCACCTCCGGCTCAGCTATATAATTGGAGGCATGGCCTCTCTGGTTCCTGATTGAACTGCTTAATGGCCATGATCCCAGAGACTCAGAAACGAATCTTGGAAACCAGCGGCTTTAGGTAGTAATGCGTCCGGTCCCTGCAGTAGGTTACCGTTGCTGGGCCAACCCAGGTGGGAATAGGTTTCGTGCCTTGGCCTGTTCCCCCTGGTGGCCCAGTGGCCGCCATCCTTCAGAGGCCACTGGACAGTCAGGTTTGGGCCCCCAGTGACGAGACACACAGGGCCTCACGGGATGGGGGTGGAGCCGGGCTTGTCCTCCCCACCCCAACGAGACCCCAAGTCATTGCCCACGAATGGCCTCTCTGGCTCCTGATCAAGCTGCTTAACGGCCTTGATCCCAGAGACTCAAACAAATCTCAAAACCCAGTGGCTTTTGGCAGAAGTGCGTCCGGACCCCACAGTACATTACTGTCGCCGGGCCACCTCAGGGAGGAAAGGGTGTTGTCACTCCACCTGCTCCCTTTTGGCAGCTTGGTGGCTGTCATCCTCCAGAAGCCTTTGGACAGTCAGGCTTGGGCCCGCAGTGGCGAAACTTGTTGGGCCTCACAGGATGGGGGGGGAGCCGGACCTGTCCTCCCCTCCCCAACGAGACCCCAAGTCATCGCCCACGAATGACCTCTCTGGCTCCTGATCAAGCTGCTTAATGGCCTTGATCCCAGAGACTCAGAAACAAATCTTGAAACCCAGCGGCTTTTGGCAGAAATGTGTCCGGACCCTGCAGTAGGTTGCTATCGCCAGGCCACCCCAGGGGGGAAAGGGTGCTGTCCCTCCAACTGTTTCCCCCTGACCGCAAGTCATTGCCCACCAACGGCCTCTCTGGCTCCTGATCAAGCTGCTCAACGGCCATGATCCCAGACTCTCAGGAGCAAATCTCGAAACCCAGTGGCTTTTGGCAGAAATCCCTCCAGATTTTAGTGTTAAAATTTTGGAATTTCAAAACCACATGGCCCTACTGCAGCCACGCGACATCATATGTTATTCACAACCAGCAATAGAACACAAATTGTCTATTGTTGCCTTTTCAGCAGATCTGAGTGTTGGGGTAAAATCTCAAATAACAATGGTGGGTCTGGTGTCGAAATATTGAATGTGATCAAAGTAAAGAGAGAGTAATGTGGAAATTATCTGCCCCACAGGTGGGGGGAGGGTGTGGGATGGGGGTATACTAGGGTTTTTGGTGGTGGAGAATGGGCACTGGTGAAGGTACGAGTGTTTCATTGTATGACCGAGACTTAGACCCAAAAGCTTTGTAACTGCTCTCACAGTGATTCAATAAATAAAATTATAAAAAATGAAAAAAAAAATTAAGGTGGAGTTCATGCACAATTCAACCAGCTAATCAGTGGCTGAATAAATAGCAATACTACTACAAAAAAAAAAAGAATCATGTGAGAAATATGAGAGGGGGGCAACGCAAGTGGAAATAAGGGTACTAGATCTAGCAAATAAAAATACTGGATCCTGGAGCTGGAGCCATAGTACAGCGGATAGGGCATCTGCCTTGCATATGGCCGATGCGAGTTCAATCCCCAGCATCCCATATGGTACCCTGAGCACCACCAGGGGTAATTCCTGAGTGCAGGGCCAGGAGTAACCCCTGTGCATCACTGAGTGTGGCCCAAAAAGCCAAAAAAAAAAAAAACACTGGCTCTCCATGGGGCTAGGGATATAGTACAGCAGGTAGATTATTTGTCTTGTATGTTGCAGACCTGGGTTCAGTCCCCAACACTCCATGTGGTCACCGAGTCTGTCAGGAGTGATCCCTGAGTACAGGAGCCAGGAGTAAGCCCTGAGCACTGAGTGTGGTGTATGTGTGTGTGTGTGTGTGTGTGTGTGTGTGTGTGTGTGCGCACGCATACACCAGTAAGGTCCACACTTACTGGACCTCCAGAGAGTTAGTCCAAGGGATGAGGGTCTGAATTACAAGGAAGAGAAATAGTGAAAGAACACGTGGAAGGACTGGAGAGTGAGTACAATGAGTAGGGCACTTGCCTTGCTCACAGCTTCCATCCCCAGCATCCATATGGATCCTGGAGAAACGCCAGGAGTAATTCTGAGAGTCATCCCTGAGCATCATTGGGTGTGGCTCCAAAACCCAAACAAATAAATAAATAAATGGACACATTGAGATAGAGAGATGGTGCAATGAGATGAAAGAGAGTATACGGTTTCCTCTCATGGGCCAGAGATAGAGTGTGGGGTAAGGGACTTCGCAATGCAGTCAACACTGGTTCCAATTCCCAGATCTGCATATAGCTGCACCAAGCACTGCCAGGGGTCACTCCTGAGTACTGAGCCAGGATGAGCCCCTGACCACTGCTGGGTGTGGCCCTCAAACAAACAAACACCTATTTGTAATGCCTACAGTAGTATCATGGTCATGGGAATGTGGCACATACCATACATGCATGGGACCTCAGGCCTGGGTGTGAGCCCTTGCTCTGCAAAAAAAAATATTTTTATAATAATAAAGGAATGGAGCAAAAAAAAAATCATGAATAGACAGAATCCATACAAGAAGCTCCGAGTTAGGAGAAGACATAAAGCAGGTTGATATAATCAGGGTTTCTCGGCACTTGGAGAGATGGTTAAAGAGCTTGGTTTGAAAGAAAAAACAAAAGAGCTTGGTTTGCATCTTACTAACCCTCGTTTGACTGGGAGGGGCGGTGTTTATCAGAGCAACAGTACAGCAGGTAGGACACTTGCCTTGCAGACAGACATCCACGTTCAATCCCCAGCAGTACATATGGCTCCCTGAGCCCTCCAGAAGTGATTCCTGAGCACAGAGTCAGAGTAAGCCCTAAGCACCTCTGGATGTGGCAATGATAATAATAATAATAATTAATAATAATAATAACAGCTTGAGTCTCCAGGACCACATATAGTCCCCTGTGCATCACCAAATGTCCTTCCTAAGTACAGAGCCAAAAATAGTCCCTGAGCACTGCTGGTTGCTGCCACCAACAAAGAGGAACCCCAGAAAAACAAAACAAAACAAAAAAGTGAAAAAGAGAGAACACTGGCCTTGCATACGGCCAACTGTGGTTTGTGGCCAATCTCTAGCTCTGCTCAAGGGATTACATGCAGTGCCAGAGAACCTTTGGGTGTGGCCAACCCACACACTGTTCCAAAGAACAGCCCAAGATTTTAGGCCCTGGATGCAACTCAGCCACAAAGCACTTCCTTTGATGTGTGATGCTCAGAAATTGATCTCCTGTACCACAAAATTCACTCTTTCAGCAAACTCTATCATCCTTCTCCCTCCTCCTCCTCTTCTCCTCCTCCTCCTCCTCCTTCTCCTCCTCTTCCTCCTCCCCCTCTTCCTCCTCCTCTTCCTCCTCCTCCTCTTCCTCCTCCTCCTCTTCCTCCCCCTCCTCCTCTTCCTCCCCCTCCTCCTCTTCCTCCTCCTCCTCTTCCTCCTCCTCCTCTTCCTCCTCCTCCTCTTCCTCCCCCTCCTCCTCTTCCTCCTCCTCCTCTTCCTCCCCCTTCTCCTCTTCCTCATCCTCCCCCTCCTCCTCTTCCTCCTCCTTTCCCTCCTCCTCCTCCTCTCCTCCTCCTCCTCTCCTTCTTCCTCCTCTTCCTTCTCCATCTCCTCCTCCCCTTCCTCCTCCTCCCCTTCCTCCCCCTCCTCCCTCTCCCCTTCCCCTCCCCTCCCCCCTCCCCTCCCCCTCCCCCTCCCCCTCCTCCTCCCCTTCCTCCTCCTCCTCCTCCTCCTCCTCCAAAATTTTAGGTAGAACCAGTACAGAGAAAGTTTGGGCCTTTGCCCCATGACTTTGGGGAAAGTCAGAGCATTTTTTGAACTGGGTGAGAGAGGGAGCAACAGTAATAGAACAAAAGATGAAAAGTTACCCTTTAACACCTTTGGAAGCAGAGTGAAGAGCAGTTTTCTCTTCGCCAGTTTTGCAGATATTCCGGGGGGACTATCAACTTCGCACCACCCACCCCAGTGCGCCGCATGTCCCGCCAGGGCTGGCCTAGCTGGGCTTGCACCAGTGGACACCAAACGGACCGCCCGTGTGAGTTGGACATTTATGTGCCCTTTATGGAGGGATGGAGGGATGGCCTCGTGGAAGTGAAAAATGGTACTACTCACGAGCACTGTTCTCCAAGTGTGACAAGGCTCCTCTGCGGGCGATATGGGGTAGAAGCTGGGATTTCCTCGCACGTGTGAGTGGTGGTTGAGGAGAGCCAAGTAGTTTTTGTATTCTGGTTGCAGAGAAAGAAACCCAAGATTAGCTTATGTTTGTGTGTGAGTTAATGTTTATATGCTTATATGTGCGATTGCTCACTCATTTTCTTATCATTTCCAATTTTTCCAACGACCCCCTCAAGCCTGCCCCTTTAGTAGGTTCTGAATAATTTATTTTATATTGCTTTTTATAAATAATTCGCTAAAAATGATCAAAAAAAGTTTTCTTAGAAGAAAGTGTGTGAAGATTGTTGTATTTTACCAGGGACCCCTTAAGTTAAGCCTTTGTATAAGAGATTATTAACAGGGCTGGAGCGGGCAGGGCATTTGCTGCCGATGTGGGTTCAATTCCCAGCATCCCATATGGTCCCCCTAGCACTGCCAGGAGTGATTCCTGAGTGCAGAGCCAGGAGTAACCTGAGCATCGATGGGTGTGAACCCTCCCTCCCCCCCAAAAAAAGCTCGCTCGCTCGAGCGGGCCCAGTAACGTCTCCATTGGAGACTTTGTTGTTACTGTGTCTGGCATATCGAATACGTCACGGGGAGCTTGCCAGGCTCTGCCGTGCGGGCGAGATACTCTCGGTAGCTTGCCGGGCTGAGAGAGATTATTAACATGTTGTTACAGGTTATATCTTGTATGTTTATATTTTGTTAATCAAGATTGTTTGCCTTCTACTTTACATCCCATCCAATGTGGTGTGCTGCTCCTGGTTTACAATTGAGTAGAATTCGATGTTTCTCATTTCTAACCCATTTTCTGTGCTCTTTGCAAGCTGAGATCTCATGATTTCTTTTATCTGGGAACTGTCCAAATTACCCATGATAGAGGTCAGAGATGATAATACAGTGGATAGGGCACTTGCCTTGTATATGGTCAATCTGGGCTCAAGCCTCAGCAAGGGTCCTCCAAGCCCTTCCAAGAGTGATCCCAGAGTGCAGAGTCAGTTCTGACCCCTAAATCTGAAATACTCTGTATAAGCTCAATAGGTAGCTCCTCTTGACAGAAATTTAGAAGAAAAAAAAATCAGTTCTAGATGTTTGGGGTGAAAATGGTCTTGTGTGTCCTGGCCCTTGTTCTTAGAAAGGCCGGGAAGACCAACAACTCACATTTGGTTGACCAATGAGAAAGGAATGAAATCTTCACCTGGGGAGTATTGGAGATCTGCAGCTGAATGTTGCTTCAGTACTTCAAAAGCATCTTCGAATGCTTGACCCAGTTTGTCTTGTTCTACGCAAGCCTGTAAAAACAGTGGCACAAATGTCAAGCTGTGAAATAGCCACTTGAGGAATTTTCTGAACATAAAATGTTTTCTCTACCAAGGCTCTGTGGCTCTGCCTAAGTCTGGGGTGCAAGGAGGGTCGGGCTGAAGTGTACCCTAAGAATCAGAGCCACATTCCTGCCCTTCACCCACTAGATGCCAGCGCATGTCTACAGTAGTGACATCTGTCTCACTGGAGCCAGCTTGCCAAGGCTGATGTTTAAGGGCAGGGCTTTCAGTGACTTGGCCTGGGCAGGTCCAGAGATTTCCTGCCTGTCCTAGCTGATAATAAGCTGATAATAAGCATTCCCAACTCAACAAGAGACCCAGGTTAAATATATATATATATATATATATATATATATATATATATATATATCTCTGATTTTGAGACCTGTGCTCATTCTATTGTAAAGGTAAGGTAAAGGTAAAGACCCTCCCGTTGATCGTCGATTTGCTCGAGCGGGCCCAGTAACGTCTCCATTGGAGACTTTGTTGTTACTGTGTTTGGCATATCAAATACTCTTGGTAGCTTGCCGGGCACTCCGAGAGGGGCAGAGGAATCGAACTCGGGTCGGCCATGTTGGCTGCGTGTAAGGCGAACGCCCTACCACTGTGCTATCGCTCCAGCCATTCTATTGTATAGTGATTAATTTTTTGAGGGGGAGGGGTGTTTTAGGAACAAATAAGCCCCAACTGTGCTGAGGGCTTACTCTTGGCTCTGAGATCAGGGATCTCTCCAGGCTCTGGGAACCACATGGGGTGCCGGGGGTCTTTCCACTTTATTTTCAAGTGATAACTGTGCAGTTTCTTGCTAAAGCTTTATAAGAATTTTGGAGTCAGGGACCAGAGCAGTAGTACCATGGGTAGGGTGCTTGCCTTGGGCACAGCTGACCCAGTTTCAATCCCTGGCTCCTTATATGGTTCCCCAAACTTGCCAGGAGTAATTCCTGGGTAAAGAGGTAGAAGTACCCTTGAGCATCGTCAGTTGTGGTTCAAATACAAAACAAAAATAAACAATAACAAAAAGAATATTGGAGCCAGGGAGATAGTAGAGCATGCAGGGGGCTTGCCTTGACCACAACTGACCTGCATTGCATTTAGTACCTTGAGCCCCACCAAAGGTCATCCCTGAGATGAGTGAGAAGTAAGCCCTGAGTATTGCCCTCCTTCTTTCAAAACAGAAGTCATTAAAATATATTAAACTAATAAATATAAAAACTAAAGTGCTCAGGGCTGAAGCAGAGTACAGTGGGTAGGTATTTGCCTTGCTCAAAGTCATTCGTGTTTGATCCCTGGCATCCTACATGGTCCCTCCAGCGTGCCTGGAGTGATCCCTGACCACATGCCAGGAAAGTCCTTCCCTGAATACCACCAGGCGTGACCTCCTCCCAAAATTAATAAAATAAACTTGAAGTGGTCTCAGGGGTCTTGGGGCCCTTTGGTAGTGGTGAGGTAACAATGTCCATCAAGACCATGAATGCCAACACCCTTGTAAACACATTCATTGACTTCACTATAATAAATTAAAAATTGATAAATTTTAAAAGCTGAAAAAAGAATGCTTTTCATTTCAAAAGCATATGTTCCAAAATCTATAGTTTGGCAGGAGACATAGTATAGCAGGTGGGGTACTTCCTTGCATGCCATCTTCTGGGTTCAATCCCTGGCACCCTTGGGTCCTGGGGTGATTCTTGAGCAGAGCCAGGAGTGAGCCCTGAGCACAGCTAGGTGTAGCCCCCAAACAAACAGACAAACAAAAAGACTTGCAATGTAACTGTTTTTTTAAATACTTATTCTGATACAAATATTTTATTTTCAAAATAGTCAAAATTTTGAAATATCAACTCACCATGCTTCACATATAAATTGGCAATTCTGAAAAAAAAAAGAATATATTAAACCAAAGTTAAATACAGTCTAATTTACCTTAGAATTAATACATTCTATTAAATATATTTTCTGTTATCATCAAAAATATCTGAATTATTTGATGAACACACATTTTTATAAAATTTCCTATGGATATTTTTTTCTTTTTCTACTATTGCAAAATTTTAATGTCAGGATAGCTATAGTGTTAAATACCAATAAGTACTTAATTAATAAAGGACTATAGAATAACTCAGGTAGGGCTGGAGTGATAGTTCAGTGGGTAGGGCACTTGCTTTGCACATAGTCAACCCAATTTTGATCCCTGGCACCCCTTTAGGCACCTCCTAAGCAAAGTGCATCATAGAGATCCAAGTGCAAAGCCAGGAATAAGCTCTAAGGAGACTTATCTCAACTACCTCAAACTTCTAAGTACTTAAAAATTCTGAAAATCAAAATCCTTATCTTAGTATAGCTCTATATTTATATTTACTATCAATTTAATTTTTTTTTTTCCGTAGAGGGGCCGGAGAGATAGTACTGGGCATAGGGCACTTGCATTGCAAGTGGCTGACCAGGGTTTGGTGCCAGGAGTCCCATATGGTTCTCCAAGTTCTGCCAGAAAGGAGCCCTTGAGCACAGTGCCAGGAGTAAGCCCTGAGCACCACTGGGTGTGGCCCCAAAACTATATTTTTAAAAATTGGTAGAACTTTAATTTAAAAACCACTTAAAAGGTAAACAAATAGAATAGACAAAATATGCTCTTTTTAATTTATTTTTATTTTGAGGTGCTGGGAACCAAACCTGGGACTTTACACATACAAGACAGGTGCTCAACCACTTAGCGACGTCCCCAGTTCCGAGTGAACATTTTAGTTAAAAAATATTTGGGTGGACTAGAGAGATAGCACAGCAGGTAGGGCGTTTGCCTTGCATGCGGCCGACCCGGGTTCGATTCCCAGCATCCCATATGGTCCCCTGAGCACTGCCAGGAGTAACTCCTGAGTGCAGAGCTAGGAGTAAACCCTGCGCAATGCCAGGTGTGACCCAAAAAGCGAAAAAAAAAATTTGGGTGTGTCACAATAACTCAATAATTTATTTTATTTTTTGGTTTGGGCCACAACTGGCAGTTCTCGGGATAACTTCTGGCTCTGCACACAGGAATCACTCCTGGTGAGCTCAAGGGGTCGTATGGAATGCTGAGGAAATAACCCAGGTTAGCTGCATACAAGGCTTAGCTAGTACCTTACCCAGTCTACTATCTCTCTGGCCTCTAGCTCAATAATTTAATGAGAATTTTTCCCCCTCTAATGAATTATAAATTTACGTTACAAATAACATTTTCCCTATGAAACCATCTGCTTCAACTCTAGAGTTCTAAGAAACTTTGCCTATGGTTTTACAGGATCTACTCCCTCTCTGTATGTAATACAGCTTTTGCTGTAAATAAGTAATTATCGCACAGAGCCTCACTTTTTTCTCCATGTTTGCTACACACAGAAAGCAAATCCTGACTAGAAGGCTCAGGAGGTTCAACACTTCATCATTTCATTTAGCATACAAGAGACTACACAAGTTTCACATAGCACGTAGGGCATTTGCCTTGCACGCGGCCGACTCGGGTTTGATTCCTCCATCCCTCTCATCCTTCTCAGAGAGCCCAGCAAGCTATCGAGAGCATCCCACCCCATGGTAGAGCCTGGCAAGCTCCCTGTGGCATATTCGATATGCCAAAAACAGTAACAACAAATCTCACAATAGAGACATTACTGGTGCCTGCTTGAGCAAATCGATGAACAACGGGAGAACAGTGGTATTTTACAGTGTTATTCTCCAATGAACTTGATTATAATATGCTCTTATCAGATCATCATATTAAGCACCTTCAATAATGCAGCATTATATGTGAATTATCTCAGTAAATCTGGGGAGAGTTTTCAGTAAATCAGTATCCCGATAAGATATATTAAGAAAAATGGTAAAAACTTGAAAGAGGCAAGTTTATAAATCATTTTCTGATTTGACAGATGTACGTGGCATTTAATGATTATCAACAGCCTATATATTTCAAAGGCCCTATTACTGCATTGCGCCAGCTCAAACACAAAAGCTAATACCTGTATATGTACTTTGAATAAAATAATTCAATGAAGGTACTCTATTGGACCCCAATATCCCCTACAACTATGACAACGCTTTGAAGTCACAAACCCGACGGGGATACGAAGTTTGAAAGAGTCAGTGACTCCAACTGTTAATTTCTGTCTTATACCAGAGAACAGGTAGCCAAAGAGAAACACAACAGTCCAAAGGAGAAAACGAACAGTTATCAAGGACGTTGTAGAAACGCAATCAAGCACTTACCCATAAAGCTGCACCACCCTTTCTGCTTGGTTAAGATCAGACTCCCTGAGACAGAGCTGTCAAGAGCTCACTGGCAGAGCCGCGTTAAATAGCTGTTTTTAAGGAAGTGCTACAAAAGGGGATTTTTGTTAAAAGATACAGTGCCTTCATAATTTCGCAGGGCTGGGCCTGCAGGCACCAGGGGCTATTATTTTGAAGAAGCCCTTGAACAGTTTGTATCCTATGGGCCAAAAGCATTAGCAGAAACCCCAAGGAATAGCCTTGTCCCTGCCCGCTTACTTGCCCACCAGTAGTCCCTGACCGTGCAGTTCCAGTCTTTTCTTACTCCTTATTGTCTTCCTGATCTGGACTATTTTTTTTGAAATTTTATCATTTTGTGTATAACTGGTGGTGGTGTTCAGAGGCTGCTACAGATTCCGGACTTTGGGATTGTTCCTGGGTACTTTCCCACCCGTAAAGCAGCACTCAGCCCACTTGAGTTATCTCTGTTCCTCCCTTGTCTGGGTTCTTTTGCCAGGTGGACAGAGGTGGAGGCACACCTGGGCTGTGCTCGGGACTTACTCCTGGTTCTGTGCTCACGCATCACTTCTGGCACTTGGGGGGGGGGGGGAGGTCATATGCAGTGCCAGGAATTGAACAGGGTCTCCCCAATGCAAGGCAAACGCCTCAGCTCTGCGCAATCTCTCTAGCTCCGTTGGCTTTTAGCAGTCCTCACTCTGGTCCTCTGGCATTCTCAAACTGAT